TCTCAGCAATCTGCAAAACACAGACCACTTACCCCCTGACCAGAAGCCGTTGGCCGTCTAGTAAATCCGGAACTGGGTCCTTCAACCACGACGCAAAACCTTTGGAGATAGTGGCGATGTCTCTTCCAGGGACGAGAGCGGGTTCCACATGGATACCGTGATCCCGCCTTTCCGTCCCTTTGAAAGGGAGAATTCGCAATAAACATGCGGAAAAGGGAATCGGGCCTCAGAGGTACTTTCAACCGACCTCCCAGATAACGTTCTCTGCATACCTGTAATGATTACAAAAGAGTTACGAATGAAAATACCTTTCATTAAGGATTGCAACGACAGGGTCTCTGCCCTTGCTAAATCCTTGTTCAAGGATCATCTTCTTGCCGAAGACTTCCGGGTCATGTCCGGGACTCCTGCCTTCCACTTTTTTCAGCCGCAGCACGCACACGTCTGCTTCATCCAGGGCTCTAGGGGGGGAGACCGGTCTGCAGGGCGCGGGCGTTCTGAGGTTGTGCTTCTTCCCCATCTTGTCGCAGAGGAGTTCTCAGGAGGGCTTCCCAGAGATCTTCAGCGGATTCCTTCTCCTTCCTCGGCGGCTTCACTCTTGCTTAGCCTTTGAAAAGGCTATTGAGCGTCTACTGCCCGGAGGTAGTAACGCAGAGTGAACAAGGGGGGGGGGAAGATCACAAACTCGTTCTGTGTGGGGGCTAAGCCTCAAACCCAATAGCAGCAAGCAGGTGAAGCCGAATTTAATCGACGATCCTACCAGCTGAGTAGAGGGTACCCCACACAGACCAAATGGCTGGGATAGATGCAAGTGGTTCTCAACGTCCTAGCTGGAAGCAGGGACACCCCTAAAGGCAAGGTCGATACTACACTGGATCTTAGCCAAAAGGCCGAGAAGTGGAAAAGTCTGACCTCTTTTTTGGATTGAAAAGATACTTTTATTACAGAAGTATAAAAAAACAACATGATACTTTGTAATCGGGGTACATCTCACCCTGTACTGCGACGTACTAGGCAACTGGTTAATCAATCAAAATCAATCCCCCCCCCCCTCTCTTCTCATTTTTAGCTAGTACAAATTGGGATCTCTCTCTCTCTCTCTCTCACTGTTAGGGAGAGCAATGTGTCTAATTTGCATATTTGCTCACTCCCTCTCTCCTCTTGTCTGCCATCTATTGGCTGTGAGGAGTACTACACTCAGGAAAAGTCTGCCATCTATTGGATGAGATGAAACATCACCAAAAGTAAGCTCTATTTATGTGTGAAAAAAAATGATATACATTTTGTTTGGGTAGAGTGTTGCATGACCGCACAGTTACCAGTAATGCCGGCATAGACGGGTTTAAAATTGGCAGATTTTTTGGCCGATAAAAAAATTGGCCAATTTTCGCATCATTAGTGGGTTAATTGGTTGGCCATTTTTTGGGGTTTTTGCACATTTTTTTATCAGTCATGTTGGAAAATTTGCAGCCGATTTTTGCCGATCGGCTGATTTTCTTGGCAATGATGGGCAAATCAGCCAATCGTTTTACCAATAAAAAATTTGCGCATGAGCCGTGACCTGAGAAGAAGAAGGAGGAGAAGGAGGAGAAGAAGAAGGAGGAGAAGAAGGAGGAGGAGAAGAAGAAGGAGGAGAAGAAGAAGGAGGAGAAGAAGGAGGAGGAGAAGAAGAAGAAGGAGGAGAAGAAGAAGAAGGAGGAGAAGGAGGAGAAGAAGAAGGAGAAGGAGGAGAAGAAGAAGAAGGAGGACAAGGAGAAGAAGAAGGAGGAGGAGAAGGAGGAGAAGAAGAAGGAGGAGAAGGAGAAGAAGAAGAAGGAGAAGAAGAAGGAGGAGAAGGAGGAGGAGGAGGAGAAGAAGAAGAAGGAGGAGAAGGAGGAGAAGAGGAGAAGAAGAAGAGGAGAAGGAGAAGAAGAAGGAGGAGAAGGAGGAGGAGAAGAAGAAGGAGAAAGAGGAGAAGAAGAAGGAGGAAAAGAAGAAGGAGGAGAAGAAGAAGGAGGAGAAGGAGGAGAAGGAGAAGAAGGAGGAGGGGGAGGAGAAGAAGGAGGAGGGGGAGGAAAAGAAGGAGGAGAAGGAGGAGGAGAAGGAGGAGAAGAAGAAGAGGTCCACTATTATATTTTATATGAAAAAGTCTTGCGGTTGCAACAAATGTATCCATTTGTATCCAAATAAAAACATCTGTATCCAAATAATGTATCTGTATTGCTGTCACATTGTATGGTGTGTGCTCCCGCCTCTGCAAGGGACAGAAGTTATGTGGTTAGTGCCAGCCATAGACGGGTCGAAAAATCGGCCGATTTTTTTTAACCTTGGTGGTAAATCGGCCAATGATTGACCCCTCTATGGCTTGCATTGGGGCCAGTTCACACTACATGCGTTTCAGTTGCTTTTTTCTGCATCTAAAACGCACAGGAAGTAGCTTATATGGTTGTCAGTGTCATAGTTCACATCAGTGCTTGCAGTTCCAGTGCGTTCCGATTGCAGAAAAAAAAAGTAAAACAGGCTGCATTTTTCCTTCACAGAACTGTACTGGAATGCGGTAAAATGCATAAGAAATGCACCAGAACGCACCAAAAACACACTATTGTCCCTATTTAAATTGAAAAAAAGAAAAAAATGAACCAGAAAGCATCAAAAACACACTGGAACGGTTCAAAAAAAGGCTTTTAGGCTAGGTTCCCACCTATGCAGGTTGCGTTTGAGCCGTTTCTGCATTGTGTTTTGCGTTTTTGCACCTGTGCTTTTGCTGCATTTTTTATACGTTTTCCATTTTTTTTTTTTTTTTTCTTGTTGCTAAGCAGATTTAAAAAGCAAAACACATAAAAAAATGCAGTAAAATCGCATCCAAAATGCAGCAAAAATGTATTGCGTGCTTTTCTGTAGTGTTTCTACTGAAGTCTATAAAACTAAAAACGCAACTTTTTCCATCCAAAAAATGTTCCTTACCCTTTCCAAAAAATGTGAGAACGCAGAAATGTCAACGTGTCCCCATAGAAAATCATGTAGTGCGTTTCTGCAAAACACTGCCGAAAATGCTTAGGTGTGAACAGGGGTGGACTGACCATTTGGGAACTCGGGCACTGCCTGAGGGCCCAGGGTCAGTAGGGGGCCCCATGAGATGCCCCTGGTACCTTTTTCATTGGCTTTTTTGAGTTTGGGCAAGGACACAGGGGCCCCATGAACCCTTATTGCCTGGGGGCCCCATGAGTTGTCAGCCCCTGGGTGTGAACCTGGGGTAAAAATGCACTGGAACATTTCATAAATTTTTCACACCTATGCAGGATGCATTTGAGCCATTTCTGCATTGTGTTGCGTTTTGCACATGTGTTTTTGACGCTTTTTGCTGTCACTTTGATGCATTTTAAATTTTTTTCTTGTTGCTAGGCAGATTTAAACCGTGAAACGCATCAAAAATGCACTACATGCTTTTCTGTAGCGTTCCCATTGAAGTCTATAGAACCAAAAATGCTACTTTTTGCGTTCAAAAAAGTTTGTGAGGGTCAGTTCACACTACACGCATTTCAGTTGCTTTTTTTTCTGCATCCAAAATGCACAAAAGTAGGTGATATGGTTGTCAGTGTCATAGTTCACATCAGTGCAGGGGCAGACTGGCCATTTGGAAACTCTGGCACTGCTCGAGGGCCCGGGGTCGGTAGGGGGCCCCATGAGATGCCCCTGGTACCTTTTTCATAGGCTTTTTTGAGTTTGGGCAAGGACACAGGGGCCCCATGATCCCCTATTGCCCAGGGGCCCCATGAGTTGTCAGTCCGCCCCTACATCAGCGCTTGCAGTTCCAGTGCATTCTGGGTGCAAAAAAAAAGTAGAACAGGCTGCATTTTTTCTGCAAAACACTGTACTGGAACGCAGTAAAACGCATCACAAACGCACTGGAGTGTACCAAAACGCACCAAAAAATGTGCTAGAACGCACATGTCCCAATTTAAATTGAAGAAAAAGCAAGGAGAAAAAAATGAACTGTAATGTATAAAAAACGCACGGAAGCGTGTCAAATGCGCACATGCAAAAACGCATCCAGAACACATCTGGACTGCGTTTCTATAGTGTGAACCGGCCCTGACCCTTTCCAAAAATGCCCGGGGTGAAAACACGGAGATGTGAACCTGTCCCATAGGGAATCATGTTAAATGGACTGTAGTGCGTTTCTGCAAAACGCTGCGGAAAATGCTTAGGTGTGAACATGGGGCAAAAAAAAAAAACGCACCAGAATGCAGCAAAAACACGCATTCAGAAACACATCCAGACCGCGTTTCTATGAACCGGCCCTAAAAGTAGCACAGTGCTAAGTAATAAAACAATGGCCAGGTCAATAATGGGGGGGTAAAAAAATGTTTGGAGCTGAAGCGGTTAAACCAGCAGACAGATGAAGGAAAAGACTTGCCCCGTGTGAGGATCGAACTCACGACCTTCAGATTATGAGACTGACGCGCTACCTACTGCGCTAACGAGGCGCTGGTTGGTCAGAGATGTCCTTCATATATTGCTGTCAGCTACACTTTTTCTGTTCTCTATTATTATGATGATGATTATGATTATTATTATTATTATGATTCATGACAATGATTCTTTGTTTGTTTTCTTCCCTGTAAATGCGATCTATTATATATAATCTATATAATATCTCTATAATAACTATAGAACGTCTCCTTTCCTATGGTTGTCATTGTGAACATCTGGCTGGCCGCCCTTCTAGACGTAACTGACGGACTGAAGTTGCCGGTATACACAGAATGAGATCCTTCCGTTCCGAACGGAAAGCTGGAATCCAGCAGTGCGGGAGAACGTCCAGCAGATGGCGGCCGAGGCCGGCCGAGCTCCCCGATGACGTCACTCGGCTGTGTACATTGTATCCGCACAGAGTGAGCTCAGAGTACCGGAGATCGTCGCTCGGTGCTGGTCGGGGGACTCGGGAGGAGAAGATCGGGGGGGTAGAAGAAGTCAGCGGGGAATCGTGTGAGCGGAGTCGGGGTTGGCAGAGCTCAGGATGCCGTCAGAACGGCCTTTTAAACACAGGAGGAGCTTCGGTGAGTGTTGACATGTTATGGACGATTCTATTCCCATCATTGTTCCCTGCTGGCCGCCGGCCTTCCATTGTCCGCACACAAATCATGGATCTACCATGGATCCTAGGGAACAGGGACGTTGCCCCTAGCAACCGATTAGCATACATCCTTCATCATCGCTGATTGGTTGCCATGGGCAACAGCGCCAGATCCAATGAAGGGAGCAGTCGGAAGTAGCAACCAATCAGCATCCATCTTCTATTTTCATAGCTTAAACTGAACAAGCTGAAGCTGGAAGCTGATTGGCTGCCACGCACAGCTGCTCCAGCCTAACCATGGGTAGGAAATCGAACAAAACAAAAAAACAATTGGGTCGGTGTGACTTTCCTATGGTTAGTGTGCTCACTGCAACAAGTCGATTTCTGTTTCAAGATCGGAAAGGAACAAAGAAAGATTTTTATTTTTTCTAAGGATTTTCTAATCATTAGTAAACCAATTGTCGTAAAAGGAAAAAAATGAAGTGAAATGCTCAGTAGCGTTAGAGATTAGGGGAAAAAAACAATGTTTAATGTTTGAAAACGATTGGAAAAGTGCTGAAAGATTTATTGGGCCATCGAATGTTAGATCCAAAGAGCGGTTCAAATTTTTTTTTCCTTCACCCCCCCGAAATTTCATGACCAGCTTAAGCCGTGAGCAATACTGCTAGTAGTAGAGAGCGATCGCCCCCCCCCCCCCCCCCCCCCCCCCCCCCATGTTTAGTTCTGAAAATGATCATAAAACGATTGAAGTTCCCATACAATGGTTGCGTCATCGAATGTTAGATCGATAGAACATTTGGTATTTTTTCCAATTTTTGTTTCATTTTTTATGGCCACAGCTGAGTAGGAATCTAAACCAATCTGGTATGAGGCCGAATGATTGTTCGATATTTGCATAGTTAATCTCGACCTTTGATTTCCACTATTTAACAAAAAAAAAACAGCCATGTTGGAAACAACATTTTTCCAAACGAATGCATTTCAAACCCTGGGTCACTCCGAATACGATTTCTAAGTGGTGCGATTATGGGACCACATTTAAAGTGCAACTTCAAATAGCACTGATAGACACAGCTGCGATTTCAGTGCCACTTCATTTACAGTCTATGAGAGGTAAATCGCACTGAAGTGGTGAAAAAGTCACGCAGGAACTGTTCTTCAAATTGCGCTACTTAAAATCGCACCGATTAAGACAGCACCGTAGACAAACATTCGATGTGACTTCAGGTGCGATTTGCTGCAATTACATTGCATCACTTCTGATCATAAAGAAATCGACTGGAAAAAAAAAACAAGGATTTCATGTTGAAACTGATTGGAAAAAATGTTGATGTTGGCTGGAAAATTGATGGGATCTAATGTGATATCGAACAAACGTTTCAATTGTTTTTGTTGAATTTTCATTTGTTTTTCTACTCCTCTATGGCCACATTAGTAGACTTTTGTTTGACATTTTTGTTGTATAAACATTCGTTCATTAATTTCTGTAATAATTAGTTGGGGGAAATTGTCGTTCCTTTTTGACCACAGTGACGGGAATATTCAAAGGCGTGGGATGGCAATTTTTTCTCGAATATATGGATTTCTAACAGTGTATGTACAGTAGCTTTCATTCGGTAATTTCATCTCTTTGGAAATTGAATGTTAAAAGCAAAAGACCTCTTAAACTACTTTGGAACGACGTGCGAATGTTCTGAAATTTTTGTACGATTTACTGCGAATGTTTGTTTGAAATTCTACTATTGTAGACCCAGCTCTAGTAAACCCCCTTCTGTGAGTCCCATTGTCTCCAGCCAGGAGATTAGAGGACAATGGGGCTCTGCCAGACTATTCCTCCTTCTCAGTGCAGGGCAGACCAGGCCGAACCCTTTCTTTGTGATCGGTGGCTTCATGTGATCCAGGTTGGTCCTCAGCTTTCTCTGGATCTTGTCTTGGTAGGGACTATGGTTAGGGTTGCAGGGACCAGCGATGGAAGCAGACAGCTGCAGCCCCCATTGATTGTTGATGAGTGTCACGAGTCCCTTGTTTTCCAAGTCAGATGTACTTCTGCTTGTTCCAAAGTCTACAGCCGGTCACCAGAGGTCAGGGAAATGTTGGTTGCTCAACAGGCCCTGCCGAAGAAACGTCCATGTAGTGTAGCCCTGGAGGAGAAACAACTGCTAATGTCTTTGTAAGCTGTAGAGAAGGCTCGTTGAACCCTCCACCTGTTTTACATATATCTACTATATCTGTGCTATGGTGATGTACTAGGTTGGTGCGCCCTCTTTGTTGTTGCTTTTATGAACCCTTTACCCTGGAGGAACCCTTTTCTGGTCCTTGGGAGCCCCAACTAAAAATGATATTTACAGTTCATGGTATATTAGTGTGATTAGCACAGTGTAGATACAGGATACACACAACATAAAATAGAAACTCTGACACCAAGAGCAGATCATGGTACACCTGGTACACTCTTCCTAGAAAGCTGAGGGGTGACTCTGCTGGGCATTCGTAGATGTAGGGGGGCTTTGATGGGCACACATAGATGTAAGGGGGGGACTGTGCTGGGCGCGCATTAGTGTAGGAGGGGGACTGTGATGGACAATCCATCTGTGATGGGTGTTAGTCGGAGGCCCTGTTATGGGGGGGGACTCTGATGGACATGTTGTTGGGGAACTCTGATAGGCACTCCCGGATGCTGGTAGGGGACTCTGATGGGCACTCTCGGATGTTGGCGGGGGACTCTGATGGGCACTCTCAGATGTTGGCAGGGAACTCTGGCAGGCACTCTCGGATGGTAGGGGACTCTGATGGGCACTCTCGGATGTTGGCGGGGGACTCTGATGGGCACTCTCGGATGTTGGCAGGGAACTCCGGCAGGCACTCTCGGATGTTGGCGGGGGACTCTGATGGGCACTCCTGGATGTTGGTGGGGCACTCTGATGGGCACTCCTGGATGTTGGAAGGGCACTGTGATGGGTACACCAGGATGTTGGAGGGGCACTTTTGATGGGCACTCCAGGATGTTGGAGGGGTACTCTGATGGGCACTCCCAGATGTTGGAGGGGCACTCTGATGGGCACTCCCAGATGTTGGAGGGGCACTCTGATGGGCACTCACGATGTTGGAGGGGTACTCTGATGGGCACTCACGGAGGTTGGAGGGGCACTCTGATGGGCACTCCTGAAAGTAATGGGGACTCTGAAGGGCACTCCAGATGTAAGGGGGCCCCTCTAATGAAAAAGGTTGCTGTAGAGAGATTACTGAACTAGAAAAAGCAGCATTGTGTAATCCTGTTTTGTCACTGATAATTTTTGTGTAGAAACCTGAATTCTTCCCTACGGGGTAGGTAAAAGAGGTGGTTGCCTTGGGCATTGCAGCAGGGGTGGGGTCAGAACTTTCAGCTTATGCTGTTGCAGCTGAAGTAGTTGCAAACTCATGGGTGGGGGCACCTTCTTGCCATTTTGCCATGGGTGCTAAAGGGCTTTGTCCCACCACTGCTGCTCATGTAATCTGGACCACTAAAAAGCAATACAAAAATATAGTCCTTTATGATCCAGATCTTAGTTTACAGCAGGGGTGGGAAAACTGCGACCCTCCAGCTATTGTGGAACTACAAGTCCCATCATGCCTCTGCCTTTGGGAGTCATGTTTGTAACTGTTTTGCCATGCCTCATGGGACATATAGTTCCACAACAGTTAGAGGGCCACACCTGGTCTACAGCCAGAAGATCACCATATTTTGAGTGGAGATCCCACCCTGTCCGATCCCAACCTTACAGTGTACAGTCAAGTGATCTCTAGACTTGGGTTAGCCAGCACTTGTTGACTAACTGAGGTCTGGACTGGGGAAAAAAAAGGGGCATTTACCCCTGGGCCTCTACTGTACTAATGAGAAGTTGTTGAAATGGTGGTCTTGAGTAGAGAACCTTCACTATTCAGACACTTATTAGAATAAAGCCTACACTCAACGACACATGGTGGGCATCATATAACTATCAGACCTATGATCTCAGCTTCTACAGAGGGAGGGATCCAGCTTTGAGTTGTCCTATGACCAAATGCCAAGGAACACCAACCTTTCACTATGGTCCACCTATTGGCCCCTAGAGGACAAAGCATTGATGTAGGGGTTGGAGGAAGGAACCATGGCGTGCAGTTGGGGACACAACCATTCAGTACTACCTGGACTTTCAAATGCTGAAGGGATTGACATAGGCTGCAGCACTGAAATGGAGAGAAGTTGGGAGATACGGGCTGCCACAGAGGTGGGTATAAAACATGTCATGTTGTAGGGAACTTTCAGGGTAACTTTAAACCTACCACAAGCCTGGCTTACCCATACTTGCGTTGTATAATAAATAAGATCATCATGTTCTTTCATTCAAAAAGAAAATAATCTCCATTGTTGCTAACTGCAACAATAATTAACAAAGTCTATAATTGGATCACTAATGCCGGCCATACATGGGTCAAAATTCGACTGATTTTTCATCCGAAGAATAATCTGCCGATTTTCGCTCTGTTAGTGGGTCAATGGCACTGGCCGATTTTCATGGTTCCTCCCCTTTTCGGCAATTGGGCATGTTGGAAAATCCTTGAAAAACTACCGATTTTTGACTCAATGATGGTCAAATCGTACAATCATTTTTCCAAAAAGAATATGCGCATGGGCCGTGACCTGGAAGGAACAGAAGTTTCACCTGTTATATGGGGTGAACTTTATGACTTGGTCGGCCGATTTTTGAAATCACCATCTGATTACTGAGCGAACGACGGTTTCGATTTTCGGACGAAAAATCGCTCGGAATTCGAACCATGTATGGCCTGTATAAGCCTCGGTTCACACTCCTGCGACTTTGGATCCAACTTGTGACACCCAAAGTTGCAGGACATGTGAATTGCCATGCTTTTCTATGACAGCCGTTCCAGTTACTACTTCTGAAGTCACTGCACTTTCAGAAAAGGTTCATGTACTACTTTCATGCAACTTTTATCTCAAGT